GATAAACACTATAAACACATAGCAGTTTCATTTATTTGGGGGGCCAAATTAATTTAATTTGCAGGCTTTGCTTACATGGTGACCCTCAACAGCAATAAAGTGATCTCTGCAAAGGTTGGGAATTGTTAGTTAATAACTTTCATGGTGACTGTCATTCTCCAGAGTCCTTCCAGTTGGTTGGTTTTGCAGCTAGATGGTAGTATAACCTCATGCTATAAAATACACCACAACCACCTGAAATTGATGCACTACAGCATTACACATAGGCAGGATTGTCCTAGGGTAAATTGGAGGTGCCTGTGTTGCTACTTAGTGTACTGTGTACGCAACAGCCTCTTCCGATCAATAAAGCATGCGTGTAGATACAGTTGAATGGTAGCTTGCTTCTCCATGGTTTATTGAACAGGCCATAGTTGCCTGGGTTTCACAACTCAAAATCGGCTAAGGCACCAATCGGCTAAACTGCTGCCTAAGCCACACTTGGCTGGTTTTACCCAGCAGCTTTAACCGACACATTAAGCTTGGTCAGCTTGAACCTTGGTTAGTTTTAAGTATGTGTCCTCATTTGGTGAATGTATGGTTCAGTGCACTGTGTAAATAAAGAAAATGGGTTATTTAATAAGCAGGGTATGGACTTGATGTGGTTGGGGCCAGCGTGGTTGATTGTTAACCCATTTTAGCAAGCCAGAACCGAACAGAATTAGAGAGTTGGAAGGGACCTTGGAGGTCTTCTAGTCCAACCCTCTGCTCAAGGAGGAGAGCCTATACTATTTCAGACAAATGGCTGTCTAGTCTCTTCTAAACAGCTTCCGGTGATGGGGCACCCACAACTTCTGAAAGCTTAATTGATTAATTGTTCTCACTGTTAGGGAATTTCTCCTTAATTCTAGGTAGCTTCTCTCCTTGATTAGTTTCCATCCATTGCTTTCTATCCTGCCTTCAGGTGCTTTGGAGAATAGCTTGACCGCCTCTTCTTTGTGGCAGCCCCTTAAATATTGGAACACTGCTATCATGTCATCCCTGGTCCTTTTTTTCACTAAACTACACAACCCAATTCCCGCAACTCTTCATATGTTTTAGCCTCCAGCCCCCTAATCGTTTTTGTCGCTCTTCTCTGCACTCTTTTTAGAGTCTCAACATCTTTTTTATAATATGGTGACCATATTATAAGTCGCCCACGTGCGTGGCCACACCCATAATTCAATGCGCCCCACCACTGCACACGCCCCCCGCTTTTAGCACATGATGGCACGATGGGCCCACTAGACCAGTTTTTCACCCTCCCCAGGCTCCAGAGGCTTTCTAGGAGCCTGGGGAGGGCGAAAACGGCCTTCTACACCCCCTCGAGGCCCTCTGGAGGCCGGAAACAGCCCATTTCCCAACTTCCGGTGAGACTGGAAGACCCAAAAATCAGCTGGCTGGTGCACGCATGCGTGCTGGAGCTGAGCTACAGCAATGCTTGCGTGTCCATTGATATGGCTCGGTGTGCCACCTGTGGCACCCGTGCCATAGGTTCGCCATCACGGGTATAGGGTCTCCTGCTCGAGCAGGGGATTGGATTAGAAGCCCTCTAAGGTCCCTTCCAACTCTATTCTGAATTAAATTGAAGAAAAGACGGAAACCCACCAACGACCCAGCAGATGGCCTTCAGAGGCAGTCCCACTGCCATCAAGGCTAAAAGCTCTTGGTGGATCTGAAATAAATATCAGATTTTTGGGAAAAGGTATTGATTGAAATGTCATGTGTTAGTCACTAAACAAAAATTTGAATTTTCTCCAAAGTTAGCTTTGCCACTTGTATTTGGTGGCCAGAAAAATCAATTGCAAACTGAAGAACTCATTACATTTTTACTTCTAGTAAAACTAGAAGTGACAAACAACAGAAAGGCCTAGCTCCGTGACGGCGAACCTATGGCACGCATGCCACAGGTGGCACACGTAACCATATCAGTGGGCACGCAAGCTCAGCTCCCGATGGGACTGGAAGTTGTCAAACGGGCCATTTTTGGCCTCCGGAGGGGTGGGGAAAGCTGTTTTCGCCCTCCCTAGATGCCTAGAGAGGTTCTGGAGCCAGGTGAGAAAGAAAAACGGGCCTACCGGGCAATTGCGTGCCGTGAGCGGGGGGTTGGTGGGTCGCATAGAATTATGGGTGTGGGCACGTGCGCGCGTGACCCCCCCGCCCCTTCCTGGCACGCGATGGCAAAAAGGTTAGCCATCACTGGCCTAGCTATTCTCTTTAGATGGGATAAGATTTGATCTATAGCCCTGGTGGCACAGTGGTTAGACTGCAGTATTGCAGGCAAACTTTGCTCACAGTCTGGAGTTCGATCCTGATGGGGCTCAAGGTTGACTCAACTTTCCACGCTTCCAAGGTCAATAAAATGAGGACCCAGATTGTTGAGGGCAATAGTAACATTGTAAAACTCCCAGAGTATTATGGTGTGATCTATAAGCCTAAATAGTATTATTATTGCTATAGCTATGCTTGAAAAAGGTAAAATCCAGTCTATGACAAGCCAAAATAAATTTTGGGCATTTCATAATTTATATAACAGATAAGCATGCTCAAAGTTGCATGTATCCAAAATTATGGGCACATTAAAAGTTACCAATAGTGTGTATAGTATGTTTATAAATTCGGTAATTTAACAGCAAGGTTCTTCCAATCTCAAATATGGAACTTGGATTCATAAGCTACATTCAGTTTGTCACAGCCTGGCCTGTTGATTAAACCAGAATTAACTGAGGTCCAACATTACAATTAAAACCATGACCTATAAACTGCAAAATGCATGTTATTTGTTCAGCATAATGCACAAATTAGACCAGGGCTCTCTAGCCTTGGCAACCTTAAGACTGGTGGGCTTCAACTCCCAGAATTCCTCAGCCAGCCATGGAATTCTGGGAGTTGAAGTCCACTAGTGTTAAAAGTTGCCACAGCTAGAGACCCCTGAATTAGGCCATTGTGTTAAGATGACATTTTAATTATTTGGAATTATTTAATTCCAAATAATTAAAATGTGGTCACCTGAGACAATTACATATAGAAGTTAACCCTTTAACTTCTTTATTGTTAGCACTTAAGTTAACACTTTATTGTGGCCGAGTATTTACCGTATTTTTCGGAATATAAGACACACCTTAGTTTTTGGGGAGGAAAATAAGAAAAAAGCTGATTGGCAGATGGATCGGCCTCCTGAAATACCCCCAATCAGCTGTTCCCAGAGGTGAATTTTAGCAACAGGTTCGTTGGTTGTGAGCTCTGTACCTTGCTTTTTTTTCTGCCTCTGAAAGCCTCCAAAACAGCTTCAGAAAAAAAGCCTCTGAAACTAAGTTTCAGAGGCTTTTTTTCTGAAGCTCCTTTTCTGCGTTTTTTTTTTCCTGAAGCTTCTTTTCTGAGGCTTTTTTTCTGAAGCTTCATTTCTGAGGCTTTTTTCAGCCTCTGAAACCTCAATTTGAGAGGCTGGGCGGGGCTACATTCGGAGTATAAGACGCACCCAGATTTTCACCCTCTTTTTTGGGGGAAAAAGGTGCATCTTATACTCTGAAAAATACGATAGGTTTGTTTTCTTCACCTAAGTACTTCACCTAGAACAGAAACCTAGACCACGCTACTTGTTTGTTGGTGCCAAAATGCCAGCAACTTTTTCTGGGTAATTTTATTTCTCTCTTATTTTTTTAGCAGCCTTGAGTTGCCTTTTCTTGTCTCTGAAACATGCACAGCCTACATTAAATCATATCTCAATGCAGTGGTGAAATCTAAAATTTGTTACTACTGGTTCTGTGGGCGTGGCTTGGTGGGGTGGGGGGTAATGTGACTGGGTGGGCGTGGCCAATTTTTTAAAATTTTATTTTTAAAGCCATTTTTTCTACAACCTCTTCGGCCAAGAGGTTGTAAAAAATGCTTTCAAAAGGCTCTGACGATTTTTTAAAAACCCTCTGCCGATCAGGCAACTCAGCTGGGATCGTCAGAGCTTCGATCGTCAAGAGACATTTAAAAGAAAAAAAGCCTCTGATAATCGCGTGGTTCATCTGGGCGGGGGGGGCGGGTAGGGATTTTTGCTACCGGTTCTCCGAACCACCTGCCTCTATCGCTACCGGATCGGGCGATCCGGTCCGAACCGGGAGCATTTCACCCCTGTCTCAGTGTGTTTTGACAGCAGTACTGTAAACAAATAAGTCTGTTTTGCAAGACAAAGTGTCTTCTAACTGGGAAAATGGAAACTGAAATCCTGTTTGCCTGGATGAGATCCCAATGAGAAGCTACTATATAGAGACCACATAGATTTGCTTATGCTACATCAGTATTTCTCAACCTTGGCAGCTTTTGAGCTGTGTGGACTTCAACTCGAGTTGAAGTCCACTCAGTTTAATGTTCCCAGGTTGAAAAGCACAGCTGTGAAACACCCTGTATACTGCTATCTAACACAGGTAGTCCTCGACTTACATGAGTTCATTTAGTGACGGTTCAAAGTTACAGCATTTAAAAAATGTGACTTATGACCATTTTCCACACTCATGACCATTGCAGCATCCCCATGATCACATGATCAAAATTCAGCTGCTTGGCAACTGACTCATATTTATGACGGTTGCAGTGTCTCAGGGCCACGCAATCCCCTTTTGCGATCGTTCTGACAAGCTAAGTCAATGGGGAAGCCAGATTCACTTAACAACCGTGTTGCTAACTGAACAACTGCAGTGATTCACTTAAAAGTACGGCAAGAGAAGTCGTAAAAACGGGGCAAAGCTCACTTAACAAATGCCTCGCTCAGCAACAGAAACCTTGGGCTCAACTGTGGCCGTAAGTTGAGGACTAGCTGTATAGTGTTTCTCAAGCTTGGAATTTTAAGGGTTTTTTTAAAAAATGTTGTTGGACTTGATGTTATTGCAGATTCTTCCACACAGGTTGAAAACCATCCGTATCCATATCCCCTCCAATTCAAAGAGTATAGTTTGCCCACGAAGCTGGAGACGGAGGAAGCTCACACGCTCAAAAAGTTGTCCAAAAACTGCTTTTTAATAAGAGCTCCTTAAATTAAGTCAAGTATCACAACCAGCAGTCTTAGGAACCTGGCTTGGCTTTCTATACCGACCCTCACCCCTTAGTAGCAGACGGACACGATCCCCCTCCCCTTCCCTGCCTCTCTTCCCAAACAGCTAAAGGTTTGTTTTTAAAGGCCTTCTTACAGATCAGCTCTAGGTGCTACTACTACTACAACTATGGGGTTCCATTGTTACGGTTATCACCCACGACACAATGGGGCCTATGTCAAACACCAAAATGAATCGGATACACTTCTGGTGATGGTCCAAATGGAATGACCAAGCTGCCTCGGCCATCTCCCCTCCCACCCGACCACCCCCTCCCCAAGTCTACTTCTCAAGTCCATCAGAAGCCAATGGTGCTTTTAGCCTGTGGTGCTGGGACAGTATGATGCTCTGGTCTTCTTCAAGCTGTCGAGCAGCCGCTTCTTAAAGAATCTCTCGCGGTATTTGAGTCCGGTCAGGTGTCTCAAAGTGGGAGGCATTTGTTCCGGAGAGACGTCCACATAAACCGGGATGACCTTCGCCCCCTTCTGGTGTACGGTATGGACCAGGTTCCATTCCAAAATGTGCTGGCACCAAGGGTCAGTCATTGAATGGGGGGTCAAGAGGACGATGGCCAGTCGGCTGCTTTGGATGATCTCGTTCACGGAGGCCAACACCGGCTTCCCGGCCACGTGGTCCTGATGTTCAACGTAGCCATGGAAACCATAGGCAACCAGCATCTCGCGGATAGCGGTGGCAATGGCGTCGTCTTCCAGGCAGTACCAGAGAGAGAAATCGTATTGGAACGAAGATGTCATGGCGTAAAAAGTATGGGGGAACTACCCCTAGGGCAAGGGGTGATTTTCTCACCCCACCCCGCACCCTTCCCACAAAGCCCACTTGTCCCAGCCTATCTGTGTGTGTGAACTCTGCGGAAACTTCCCCTTGGCTTTCCCCAAAGAGAGGTGTTTCGTTCTGAACGTCTGTGTGAAGGAAACAAAACGAGGGCCAATGGAGCTGCGGAGAACTAAGAGCAACAGTGAATCTAGGGCCAAAACAATAGAAACAACGCTAACTGCACAACTGGGCATCTCAGCGTGAGCACAGCGAAGAGATCCAGGCCCTCAAGAGGCTTGTAGTGGGGCGGCTGGCTTGGACACACAATTCACGGAACCTAAAATCACAGACGGTGTTGAAGATGTGTAGCGTAGGCATGCTGAAATCACATCACAATGGCGAGTCTTTAGTTTTTTCAAGCATGGCATGGATCCTGTAAAGGGGGGGGTGAGGGGGGAACGCGGGTCGAACTCGACTGTGGTCACTTTCCCCCCAAAAAAGTATCTCACAAAGCTCTCTGCTTCATCTCTAAAATGCCCTGCTCCAGGGTTGCTCCGGCCAGTTTCAGCTCCTCGCACTTCTCCTTGAGCAAACTGCAGGCCTTCTGGAGCCGGTGATTCATCTCCACGTAGGACTGGGTCAGCCGGTAGAGGCGTTCCCTCTTGGCCTCTGGATCTTCATTCTTCGTTGGGGTGGGCAAATCTGAAGGCAGGCAAAATGGGAACCGGGGTGGGGGTGGGTGGGAGAGAAAAGAGAGATAGAGATAATGATAGAGGAGTATATTTGTAGCTCGGGGTTGAAATGAGGGGCCGCTGGTGCTCTCTGAGCTTGGTTGTTTTCTTGCAGACGTCTCATGACCCAACTGGGCAACATCATCAGTGCTAGTAGGGAGTGGGGTTTGCTCTCATTTTATATTCTAGTGACTTGCCCTGTCAGTTTTTGGTGTAGATTCTTTGGTTGGGCTGTTTACTATTAGCTTGTTTGGCAGATCCTTAATTGGGGCACTGTTTACTTCTTGACTGTGGGTCTGATGTTAATCTTGGTGTTAATCTCTGCTCTCAACTAGCACTGATGATGTTATCTAGTTTGGTAATGAGACATTTACGAGAAAACAACCAAGCTCAGAGAGCACCAAGGACTCCTCAGACAGAAATGAAGTGTGCTACCTTTGCGGAGCACCTACACAACAACAGCTTAATACTGTAATAAAAGCATTGATTGGCACCGAGATCCTCTTAGTTTCAATATGACACATCTTGGCTCAGCTACAAAGAACCCAGTCAGAGGTTTTGGAGAACAATTGGGTTCAGATTCATGTTATAGTGCAATCATAACTAATATAAAATTGAAACCTGAAATCTTTCTCTTAGGATTACTAAATAAGATTTCCCCCGATAAATCTCCCTAAAAGATTTGGAATTTTATCATTGTATATGTTGGCCGCAGTGAGAATTTAATATGCACAGAAATGGAAAGATATATCAATCCCCACTACTAAAAAATGGATGAAAAAAGGTGAAGCTAGCAAAAATGGCAAAATTGACATTTCCTATTAGAGAAAAGAACATATCCAGCTTTGTTTCTACCTGGAAACCACTTCTGGACTTTGTGCTTGGGACAGAAAAAAATGAACTCTTGATTTTGCTGATTAATAGAACTGGCTGATATAGAAGTGGCTAATATTTGTTAAGTTTGTAAAAGTAAAAAGTGAAGGCTGTACTTTACTATGCTGAAAAAAGTTGGAAGTCAATGGTCTTTTTTTCTTTTCCATTGTACCTACATCTTTCTTACCCTTTTCTTCCCTTTTTCCTATCATCCTCATTTCTGTTTTATAGTAAGATAATTGTAATAAAACATCTAAAAAGAAGTTCTGGAGAACAGTTATTCCCCCCCAAAAAAATTCCAGCTGGATTCAATTTAAGACAATTTCCTCTATTTCTAATAAAAGCTGAGCTTCATCCAAAACAATGAGAATTAAATTTCTTCTATAATGTCTAAATATTTCACTTTCAAGCAAAGTATATTAGGATCAATCCAGCAGCTTCAACAGGACTGGAAACCACCAAATGCTAAGACCACACTGACACTCAATCCACAGTGCATTTACTTAGGTCACAGAGGTGGGGAACTTTATAACTTGTGGACTTCAACTCCCAGAATTCCTGAGCCAGCATGGAAATCCACAAGTCATAAAAAAAGGGCCATAGTCTCCCACCCTTGACTTAGGATTTGTTTAAAAAGTCATAAAGGACAGACTGCAGTTAACACTAAACTGACTGGTTCACACATCATGCTAAATTGGGAAATTCTTTAATGCAGGGGTCCCTAATCCCCTGGTCTCTGGACCTGGACTGGTCTATGGCATGCCACTAACCAGTCTGTGCAAACAAGCAAAGCCCCATCTGCGGATGCAGGCAGCACATCTCTCCACAGATCCAGTCCCTGGTACCCAAAAGGTCGGGGGCCTCTGCCTTAATGGATCTGGCTCAGGGGCAGGTTTCAAACCCCGTCGCTCCTAGTCCGCTCGTGGGTGCACGCGCTCACAAACCAGGTTTTGTGGCTTAGCGTTGTCTGTAAACTCAAAGGATGTGCTGACTTTGAATATGCTGGCTGTTGTGGTCCGCCAGCAGCCTACGGACCTGACAACGGAGTTAGACAGTGAGGAGGCTGGGGAGGACAATGGGCCAGTCCTGGAGTCTGGGGAAGGCCCAGACTAGGGCTCTGCATTGGAGACGGAGATGGGGCCAGGGCCATCTGGGAGCGATGCGCGGACTCCGGAGCCTCCAGAGGCTGACAGTAGAGAGGCAGAGGAACAGGAGGAGCCTGTTCCTAGTGCACGTATGAGAAGAGCTGCCAGAAGGCAAGAGCAGCTGAAGAAAAAAGGACAACTTGGGAGTAAAGCCAGGAGATGATTGGCCACTCCCATAAGGCTTAAAAGAGCAGCAGTTGGGTTCTTTGTAGAAAAGCAATGTTGATTCTTGTCAGCGTGTTTTGAACTTTGTGGGGGTTTTGCCAAGAAAAGCTTTTGGCTGGTTGCCAAAGACATCAAAGGTTGGTGATAAGGCCGAGGGACTGGTTATTAAGAATTGTGTTTGGTAATCACTACTTGGGCCTTGGTCACAACACTGGCTGAGTGGGCAACCTGAATACACCTTCCTAGCACCCATAAGCCAGCACAGCCAAATCTTTCATCAACCTTTCCATTTGGTGGGGTTGAAGGGGATTTTGGAAGGCCCAACTCGCCTCCCCAAAATTGGGGAGATCTTTTAGGGATGATGGTGGTGGTTTAACAGAACCTGAACGTACACCTCTCCTCCCTCGTCTTGACAGTCCATGAAATTATAGAGAGGATCCCTTCTGAGACATTATATACCTGACTAGGTGGCTCAGTGGCTAAGGCACTGAGCCTGTCGATCAGAAAGGTCGCCAGTTCAGCAGTTCGAATCCCTAGTACAGGTCTCCTGATTGAGCAGGGGGTTGGACTAGATGACCTCCAAGGACCTCTTCCAACTCTGTTATTGTTACATTTGCTCTGCCCCCATTCCTCCAGCAGGCTAAGCCGTTCCTGATCTGAACATTACCTAGTCTGCAGCTCTTCCTTCTGTCTCCCAAGGTCATTCACACAGACCATTACAATTTACTTTTTTAGTGACGGATGGAAACTCCAGCCTTTTCCTTTGCATTCAGGGCACTATGCTTGCACCTTGGCACAATGTTTATCCTTTACATGCCTTTTCATCCAAGTTAAGCTTTGGTCTGGATTCTCATTTGCCATGAGATCCCCACCCCCTGAGTTATAGTCTTTTATTTTTTTCAAATTAAAAAAAAAACCTGGGGTAACCTAGTCCCTTCCCTGCATTTATTTTGCAACCCAAAGTTCGGAAGACAATATATGGGCCAGGATCTTCATACCTTCATTGGGCTCCACCAGGAGGACAAAAACGGGGTCGTTGGGCTGGGCACGCTGGACATCTTCAAGAATCTGTTCTGTGTTGGGGGGCTCAGGGCGTGTGGGGAGTACCACCCGCTTCTTGGCCTTTGAGGTCATTGCTTGGAAACAGGTGCCAGAGGGCACTGGAACGACAGAAGAGTTGGAGAGAGAAACAAAAGGGTTGGATCTTTTTTCTGATAAAGCAGGCATCTCCAAGCTTTGCTGGCTGGGGAATTCTGGGAGTTGAAGTCCTCCTTAAAGTTGCCAAGGCTGGAGACCCGTGTGATAAAGCTTGGATAGAAATGGACCGGCTCGCCGGGTAGTCCTCCACTTACAACCACTCACTTAGTGACTGAAGTTACAACGGCCCTGGAAAAAGTGACTTAAAACCGGTACAGTTAGTCCTCGACTTACGACCGCAACTGAGCCCACAATTTATGTTGTTAAGTGAGAGATTTGTTAATTGAGTTTTGCCCCATTTTATGGCTTTTTTTGGTCACAGTTCTTAAGTGAATCATCGCAGCTGTTAAGTTAGTAACCCGGTTGTTAAGTGAACCTGGTTTCCCCAATTGACGTTGCTTGTTAAGAAGGTAGCCAACGTCGGATCGCCTGACCTGGGGACATTGCAACGGTCGCAAATATGACCCCGTTGCCAAGTGCCTGAGTTTTGATCATATGGCCGTGGGGATGCTGCAATGGTCATAAGGGTGTAAGTCACTTTTTTTCAATGCTGTTGTAACTTCGAACGGCCATTAAATGAACTGTTGTAAGTTGGGGACTACCTGTACTTCCAATTGCAACCATGGCAGCATTTCCATGGTCACGGGATCAAAATTTGGACGCTTGGCGATTGGCGTGTATTTATGATAGTTGCACTGTCCCGAGGTCACACGGTCGCCATTTTCAACCTTCCCAGTCGGTTTCCAACAAGCAGTCAATTGGGGAGGAGGGGGGGGATCAGATTCGCTTAACCGCCATGTTATTAATAACTGAGAGTGATTCGCTGGTCTCAATTGGGGTCGTAAGTCGAGGACTACCTGTCCACATGAAAAGGAACTCCAATCTTAAATTACAAGCAGTTCAAGCTGAAGAAACTGTTTAGTCAGGGGTTTTTAGTCCTCTGTATGAACTTGCATTCTTGGCAGTTCCAAGAAGGCTCCACCACATCCATTTGCACTACTCAGCTGACCGTACCAACACAAATAAAACCTCCAGGTGGCCTCAACGACTCTCTAAAAAGGACGCAAATGACCAGCTGTCTGCAAGGAATATCAATCCTTCCATTCCCCACCATCCAGTCAGAGCTGAAGAAGCTTCCTGGATGAGAAGTGAAACGTCTTCAAGGAAAAACAAAGAAAATCCAGCCGCCTCTTGAAAAAAAAAAAAACAACCTTTGGGAAAACCGTGACCTGGATTTCTGTGAATCTCCATAGACATCTGCATTCTCAAGTTCAAAATCCCCTAATAGGCACAGTTTGACGCAGTGGTGAAAGCATCAGACTCAAAATTAGGAGATTGCGAGTTCTAATCCTGCCTTAGGCACCAAGCCAGCTGAGGGGGGGTGGGATTTTGCGCTGGTCCCTCTCCCTCAGTCTCAGGAGTAGGAGGCAAGGGCAACCCATTTCCAAATATGTTTTCCATATAGCCATCAGAAATTCAGTCTCGCTTGAAGGTGTGAGTGCGTGCACACGCACACAGCAGCCTTTTGAGTCTGAGGAAAACACAATCTGATCCATCCACTGATCAAATCACTCCCCGATCGACCCAAATCGCCATCGTTGGAAAGAATAAATATCCTAAATGAGTCAGACCAGCTCAAAGTATTCTTTGTACAGGTGTGGGGTGAGGAAGGGGTACCTGCAATTTAAGAAGGGAAGTTGGGGGGGGAGAGAAATGTTGCTGTTTCTAAGATGGCACCTGCCATCTGGGTTTTTAAAAAAAAAAAATAAGTTACATAAGTCACACTGAAGAAGGGCTAGTTGCTGAAATTTTCCTTTACAATGTGCCTATTTTGCAACAGAACTTAGTCATCTGAACAAAAAAAAAAAAAAAAAAGAATTCAACTACTAAATCTGGATATTTTTTTACTGTACTCTACATACGAAAAGGCTTCACCTTCCTTTCTGGGGAATAAAAACCCATGCAGAAAATTCCTTGTGGTTTTCTGTAACTAGAAAGCAACCTAACGATGTGTGCTTAAATAGTGAAATGAACAGACTAAAACATTTCAATTTAAACAAAAAGGCAACCTAATTTTTTTCCTTATGTAACTTTAAAAAAAAATTAGATGGCAGGTGCCATCTTAAAAACACCAGCATCCTCCCCTCCGGCTTCTCTGCATTAACCCAGAACAGAACGTTGCTTTTAAAATAATTATTTTAATCCACCAAAAGGTAAAAAAAAATGCTTCCAGAAAGGACATTGGTGCAACTCTGCTCTGCTTCCAAACATGATTTTTACAGCAGGAGGCATAACGCTATCTTCTATGAAACCCATGTTCTAAACATTGCTTCTATCACCTTTCCCCCCCCCTTTTTAAATTAGAAAAGAAGAAATAGAATAACATACACAACCTTTTGACTGTCAGCGCTAGAAGCTATTCATTTGAAAGCATTCAAAAAATGGTTTTCGCTTTCCAAAAAAAAAATACCCAATAGTTTTATCAAATGCAAACTGTACCTGATTTAATTAATTGTAGGTAAGGGGGGAAGCATAATAAAGAGTAAAAAAGAAAAAATATGCTTGCTTCATTATCAGCCAGCTTCAGGAATATCTATAAAATCTATCCCCCAGAACCACACTTTTGAAATACAGTGGCCAACCGCTGAAAATCAAAAGCACTGTGATGCATTTTAAAAAAAGAAATTAAAACAAATGAAGATGCATTATGCCTCCAATAAGCTGAAAACACTTTTTATCTAATAGTTCCCTTTATCGTCAAAAAGGGCTCCCCAAATGTGCCCAAGTAGAAAAAGCTACTGCATCAACATCACACCCCCTTGCAGTCCTCTGAAGCCAAAAAACCCCCTGTAAAAATTAAAAAAAAACCTAGTTCCTGTTTATGTTTTAAAATCACCTTTCTCGTAAGGCATAGTCCGCCTGATGCAAGTTAAAAGGATATTGCCCCACAGAAGCAATTAATTAAAACTTGATATACATTTTTTTAAATCTAAGAGTTGTTCAAAGAAAAGTCCTATGATTTCTATGGGAATTTTAGGTATTTAATCATCTGTGCCCTCGCTCCTAAAAAAAACAAAAAAAAACCTATAAAATACAACCACAGGGCTTTTCAACCAAAAATCCCAGGGCATCCACACCACAAATTATCTCAGTTAATCCAAGCTCTCCTCCACCTACCAAGAATAGTTTGCTTCCATCTCAGTTTTGTCTCCATTCAGCACCTCCCTCCACTTCCAACAAGGCTAGAAACCACAATCAAAACATCCCTTGTTTGTCAATGCAGGAGTGGGAACCAGGAGGAGTTAAATTTAATTATCTTGGTCTCTCAGCTTATCCAAGCGCGCTATCGCTCTCTCTCACAGACACACACCATCCCAACGTTACTGTGTGAAACTCTGCAGTCCCGTCTGCAGGTGTGTGAAGATGTCGTTGTGTAAAAAGGTGGGAGGGGGGGAGTGAGATGCATTTAGAGAATGAAAGGCTTTTTGGAAGGGTTGGGGAGGAGCAGAAGGCTCTGATGCTGTGAAATTCTGTTTTGTTTTGGGTTTTTTCCCCCCTTCCCTTCCCCAGTTTAAAAAAGCCCTCATTCCTGCCCTGAGCAGGAAGGACAGCCCATGCATCCCAACCACGTTCCAGAATGTTCACTACTGGCTCTGCAGTCCCTTTCGCCAAGGATGGCTAATGCAAGATGCATGCAGGGAAAAAAAAAAGGAGGATGGTGAAGGGTTGGGGGGGGCTGATACAGAATACACCCGTTCTGCAGATACCACACCCACTCTATTGCAAGCACACACCCTCAGAGCCTCGATTCTACCCTCCAGTAATCATGCCACAGACCCCTTTCTCTGATCCATCATCTTCCTGGACCCTTTCATTTCCTTCCCCTGGCATATTACTCCCACCCACCTGGGCCCCCTCCCTCTGTCATAACAGCCCCCTTCCTCCATTTCTACCAGCAGCAGAGTTTGCATCAAAACCTCCCCTCTCCTCAATGCCTTGCAGTGTGCATTGGAGGAGGGGGGTGGGGGTGTAATACACGTTTCTTTCCCACCTGGCTGAATTCCCCCCCTTTTTTTCCTTTCCTTTCTCATCCTCCCTTCTTTTCTCCCCTACTTCTACCTTCCCTCCCCCCCCCACCCCATGCTAAACTATCTAGGACATGAACACACAACCCACCTGATTCAAGCCCCCTCCCCTCCTGGAAGGCTCCTTGCACCTGTCCCAGCCCCCCACCCCCCCACCCCAGGTGGCTCTACCCAAGGGTCACCTTCTCCTTCAGACCTGCTCTCTTCTGCTCCTCTGGAAGGATCCTGAACCCCTCCCCATAACCAGATCCTCCCACTCCCCTCCACCAACAGACTCCAGTTCTTCCTGCTCAGTTAGCAACAACCCACCCACCTCCCAGCAACTCCCACCATATTCTCACCACCCACCAGCTTTACTCCTGGCTCCCCCCCCCACCCGGGAGACCCTCGCTCTCTTCCCCACCATTCGTTCCTCCCAAGCTCCAGCTCCCCCAATGCCAAGCCTACACACGCCCTACCCAAAAGCCCCTCTTTAGCAACAGACCACGATCTCTTTCCCGCGTCACCCCCTTCACTCGAGACGGAGCATTTCCTCCAAGTCCCCCCCCGCCCACCTCCCCAATTCCCCTTCTCCAACAGGACGCCCGCCCCAGGAGGACCCACAACCTCTTTCCTGCACAACCCCCCCCCTCACCCCCACTCCAGATCAGGCTCCCCTAAACTTCCTCTGTATTTACAGACACCCCCCCTTAACCTTTACCCCTCCCCAAATAACCCCCCCCTTCCTCGTCTCACCTGCTCTCTCTCCTCCTCTCCACCACCTGATTCCCTCCCTCCCTCCTTCCTTTTCCCAAGCCACGCCCCACAGCAGGCCACGCCTACCCGTTCTCCCCCTTTTCAACCCCCCCTCTCCGCTTTCGGATCGCCCCCTTCCGGTTTCCGTGCGAACGTGGCACATGCGCAATGGGGGCGGAGAAACGCTCGAGACACCCTCCCACTCCACCCCCAAGATTGATCTCTATCATTGTTTCTGGCTGATTTGCAGCCGCCCTGAGTCTCCGGAGAGGGGCGGCGTATAAATTTAATAAATAAAATAAATAAATAAATAATTTAATAAATAAATAAATTTAAGGAAAAGGTGAAAGAAATACAGGGGGGGGGGAAAGTCCTGCTTTATTTAGTTCCTTCGCTATGCAAAGGCGTGGTTGCTTGTGAAAGACCGAAATGTGAATTTAATACTCTTTTTTTTCCCCTCTGGGTCGAGTGTCACGAAGAAGACGGGTTTTTGGATTGGCACTTTTGCGATGGTTTCGGTTTTTTTATTTTTATTTTTTATATTTAACGTGTGGCATCTACAGATGTGCAATCACTGATATGCAATACTAATACAACTCATTGTAGGTACAACCACAAATGTAAATGTAAATAAAAGTGTAGGAAGTTAGCACCCACCCCTTTCCTAGAGGAATGAAAATATTTTGGGAAATATTAAAAAGGCAGAATATTATGTTTCCCTGGATGAGAAATGGAGAAGCATGTTTTAAAGACGAAGCAGCTCCCATCTTCCTGTCCCCTCCCTTTGTCAATGGGCCAGACGCAGAAACTCAATCTTTGTCAATGGACCACCATCTGCAACACAATAGGACCCATCTAGCAACAGAAACTCACCACATGGCACCTGGGAAGATTACATCAGCCAGCAAGGCTAGCTAAGACCCCCACCCCCTGGGAGTCTGACAACCAATCAGGATACTCTTTCTGGGCCCCAGGAAGTTCAAAGCCAGAGAGGGCATAAAACCCGGGGACTCACTGCGTCTCGGCCCCTTTTTCTGTTCAGGAACTCAAACCATGTGATCCTTTCCACCATTAAACAATCTTTCCAAGCAGTTTCCATGTTTCCAGTGTCCTTTTCCCCACTTGGAGCTGAACCCAGAAGGATATTTCTTCCAACAAAAGAATAACAGACATAACAATTGGAATGGACCTTGGAGGTCTTGTAGTCCAACCTCTTGCTCAAACACCATAGAATCGCAGGAGGATACAGGTTATACAGGTAGTCCTTGACTTACAACACTTCATTTAGTGACTGTTCAAAGTTACTAAATGACCGTTTTTCACAGTTACAACCTTTGCGGCATTCCCCATGATTACGTGATCAAAATTCAGATGCTTGGCAACTGGTTCATATTTATGGCCATTGCTGTGCCCCAAGGTCATGTGATCACCTTTTACGACCTTCTGACAAGCAGAATCCAAAAATATTCCAAAATTTATTCTTCTTCAGAAAGGGATGAAACTATAGAACAAACTATAGGAAATCCTACACCACTTCAGACAAATCCAACATCTTCTTAAAAATTTCCAGTGTTGCGGCATTTACAACTTCTGCAGGCAAGTTGTTCCACTGATTAATTGTTCTAACTGTCAGGAAATTTCTCCTTAGTTCTAAATTGCTTCTCTCCTTGGTTAGTTTCCACCCATTGTATCTTGTCCTACCCTCAGGTGCTTTAGAGAATAGCTTGACTCCCTCTTCTTTATGGCAGCCCCTGAAATATTGGAACATTGCTATTATGTCTCCCCTAGTACTTCTCTTCATCAAACTAGACATAGCCAGTTCCTGCAACTGTTCTTCATATCGTTTAGAATCAATGGGGAAGCCAGATTCACTTAACAACCGGGTTACTAACTTATCAACTGCAGTGATTCACTTAACAGCTGTGGCAAGAAAGGTTGTAAAATGGGGCAAAAACAAATATCTCAACAGAAATTTTGGACTCCATTGTGGTCATAAGTCAAGGACTACCTATAATTGGATATCTAAGGAAACTGACCATCGGGGCGGGTTCCAAATCCCATTGCTCGGTAATGGTCGGATTAATCTAAGATGTTTGAAAACATGCATGAGAGCTATGTTTTATATCTGTATAAAAACTAATCCTGGCAATGACTAGTGGTATGCTGGATGTGTGTGAAAACACTGCATGGATGTTGTAGTTGGTGGGACACTGGCTGGATGACTTCAGTCCAATCGGTCCAGAAGGCATTGAGTTCTAGTTCCGCCTTAGGCATAAAAGTTGGTATGGATCACCCTGGGCCTGTCACGGTCTCTCAGCCCAACCCACTTCACAGAGTTATTGTGGGGAAAACAGGGGGAGGAAGTATGTTCCCTGTCATGAGATATTTATAAAAATAATAAAAGACAGGATAAAAATATCAGAAAGAAAAGAATGAAAAAGAAAAGGAAGGAAAGAAGGGAGGGAGGGAAGTCTGTAATAGACAAATAAAAGTGGTCAGGAAGCTATTAAGTCAATTAGAATAGAACTGGAAAGAACCTTAGAGGGCTTCTAATCCAGTGATGGCTAACCTTTTCAGCACTGTGCTGAAAACGTGCTGTGCACGCGCGAAATTGTGTGTGTGCCGCACACCCATAATACAATCTGTGCACAACCCCCCCCGTGCCCCCGTGCGTCAGTGGTGAGTTGCCCCTGGTTCGGACTGGTTCACAAGAACCGGTAGTAACCGGTAGAACCGGTGGGAGGCTCCGCCCACCGACCCCGATGTTAGCAGGATGCTTCTGCACATTCGCAGAAGTGCGTGTGCGCAAGCAATGTGAGCGAGCAGTCCCATTGCAAAACAGTAGTAAAGGTAAGTAGAACCCACCCCTGCCATGCATGCACCTCACACACGTGTGTGACCCCCTTGCGTGCACCCCACCCCAAGGCATGCATGTGCGACCATGGGCATGCACCCCGCGCATGCACACGTGACCTCCGCATGCACCCTGCCTGTGCATGCACGCGCGACCCCGCACTTGAGTGCACGACCCAGTGCACGACCCGCCCCCTGCGCACGTGTGTGACCCCCACATATGCACTCCGCTCTCCCATGCACACACGAGTGTCTCCTGCATGCGCCCCGCCCCCACGCATGCTATGGCAGAGATTTGAAAACCAGCTGGCCGGCAGAAGGCACGTGTAAATCCATGCACAGCTGAGCTGGGGCGACCGCTTGCGTGCCCGCAGAGAGGGCTCTGCATGCTATCTGTGGCACGTGTGCCATAGGTTGGCCATTATGGCCCTATACAATTTCGGATTGTATAGTCTCTTCTTAAAAACCTCCAGAGATGAAACACTCACAAGGTCTGAAAGCAAGCTCTTCCACTAGTTAATTGTCCTCACTGTTAGGAAGTTTCTCCTTAATTCCAGGTTGCTTCTCTCCTCGATTAGTTGTTTTTCCATTGTTTCTTGTCTGGCCACAACTGAGCCCAGAGTTTATGTTGCTAAGTGAGAAATTTCTTAAATAAGTTTTCTCCCATTTTACAACTTTTCTTGCCACATTTGTTAAGTGAATCACTAACACGGTTGTTAAGTGAATGTGGCTTCCCCGTTGACGTTGCTTGTCAGAATGCCGCAAAAGATGATCACATGACTGTAGGACACTGCAACCGTCATAAATATGAACAAGTTATCAAGCATCTGAATGTAAATCACATGACCATGGGGATGCTGCAATGGTCGTAAGTGTGAAAAATGGTCATAAGTCACTTTTTCAGTGCCATTATAATTTTGAACAGTCACTACATGAACTGTCGTAAGTCAAGGACTATCTGTATATGTTTGCAAGATTCACAGTTTAAACAAGAACAGACAATATATCCTAAATTAAGCTTTCATGGTGTAGCTCCCATGGTGCAAATGAAATCAAACCCTTCAGGCTATTTCAAATGTCTTAAGAGTTCAAATTCTAGAACTCAGTGTTTCTCAACCTCCTCAACTTTATGATACATGGATTTCAATTCCCAGGATCCCACTTTCTTAAAGTTGCCAAGGTCAAAAAATACAGATAGGCCTTGACTTACGACCATAATTGAGCCCAAAATTTCTGTTGCCTAGCGAGACAGTTGAGTTTTGCCCCATTTTATGACCTTTCTTGGCACAGTTAAGTGAATCTTTCCAATTATTTAGTTAACACAGTTAAGTGGATTTGGCTTCCCCACTGACTTTGCTTGTCAATGACCCCAGGACACTGCAACCGTCATAAATATGTCAGTCATCAAATGTCTGAATTTTAATCATGTGACCATGAGTATGCTGCAACAGTCATAAGTGTGATTAAACGGTCATAAGTCTCTTTTTTCAGTGCCAGTGTAACTTTGAATGGTCACTAAAACTGTTGTAAATCGAGAATTACCTGTACTGCTATAATCTTTAACCAGTAGGCCTTACGAAAACTTGAGATAATGGAAAATCTAAGAATTATAGAGAGTAGAGCTTTTTATTGGTCATTATTTAGAGAGAAGAATAAGAATAATTAAAAACAAAACAAAACAGAATCCCACTTCCTAATATCCCAAGTCCTTCCTGAAGTGGCCTCCATTTCACGTCTTAGCATCAAAATGGTTTTGTCTTCCAATACTTTTTCCCTAATTTTGTATTCTCTTTCCGGAGCAGACGCCAGTATTGCATAGTGTCCTGGTCCAGTTCTTCCAACTTCTTAGGGGGCCCTAGGTCCATATTGAAAAGCCTGGGATGGGGAGACAGGGAGAAGGTGAGAAACAGCCATCATAAAATAAATTGAGTCATGCAGCATCTTGAAATGTTTATAAACAACAGGGACAGTGGTTTTCAATGGAGGAAACTGACTGACTGAAACAGTGTTAGCAATAGCACTTAGACTTATATTATGCTTTACAGCCCTCTCTTTTTTTTATATGTATATATATTATTTTTATTTTTTATAAACAAACATACATATACAGACGTAGACATTAAAACAAACTATACATAAACTAACTATACAGAGAAGTCAAGTCTTACAGCTTGAACTTTAAAAATAGAGCTACTTCGGTAATTATATATCTATATATCTATGTATATTTATTTTTCATCATGTATCAATGTTTATACAACGATATTTCATTTTATTTCCTTATTTTTGTATCATTGGGTGGTATTCCCTTATTTCGTGTTCTTTTTATCTAACCAGTTGTACCATTTCTGCCAGATTAAATAATACTCTGAATCTTCTTTTCCCTGTATCTCTTTGGTAAGTTTGTCCATTTCCGCACATTCCATTGTTTTTTGTATTATTTTTTCCTCTGATGGCGTGTCCTCTAATTTCCACATTTGTGCGAAAGTGATTCTGGCTGCGGTCAGGATATGTATTATCAAGTATTGTGTCTCTTTTTTATAGTCCTTTGTCAGTATTCCTAGTAGATATGTTTCCGGTCTGAGGGGCACTTTTTGGGTGGTGATTTTTTCCAGCTGATTTTGAATTGTTTTCCAAAATTTTTTGGCCTTTGGGCATGACCTGCTTTACAGCCCTCTCTAAGCAGTTTAGAGAGTCAACATATTGCCCCCAACAATCTGACTCCTCATTTTACCGACTGCGGAAGGATGGAAGGCTGAATCAACCTTGAGCCGGTGAGAATCGAACTCCTGGCAGTCATCAGAATTAGCCTGCAATACTGCATTCTAACCACCGTGCCACTATGGCTCTGATCAAACCTCTGTACAGGTAGTCCTTGAATTACGACTGCAACTGAGCCCAAAATTTCCATTGCTAATGGTATTGAGCGTTGCACCGTTTTATACCCTTTCTTGCCATGAAGTGAATCACTGCAATTGTTAAGTTAGTAACGTGGTTGTTAAGTGAATCTGGCTTCCCCATTGACTTTGCTTGCTAGGAGGTCAGAAAAGGGGATCACATGACCCTGGGACACTGCACCGTGGGCCAATCCTTTGCTATTTCCAGGCTGGCCTCGCGGGCCAGATCTAAGCAACCTGCAGGCTGGATCCAGCCCACGGACCTTGAGCTTGACAGCTCTGCTCTCGATCAAGGATGGGCAACTATGGCCCCTTTGCAACCTGTGGACTTCAACTCCCAGAATTCCGGTTTTCATGCTTATGTGTCAACTCTCAAACCAACTGTAGCTGAAGCCATATTCATTTTACTTAGTTTCTTAGTTGTCATATATATGGGGGTAGGGCAGTGATGAAATCCTCCGTGGTTTGCCACCGGTTCGTTGCACGCACATGCGCAGTGCATGCCAAATGCACACTGTGAACACGTACGCAGTACGTGCCAAACGCACGCTGTGCACACACATGCACAGTGCATGCCAAACACACGCTGCACACGAACATGCAGTTTGGCACACGCATGTGCAGTGCATGCCAAACGCATTCTGTGCGCAATGTGCAGTACATGCACAATGCACACCAAATGCATGCTGCGTGCAGAAAAAGTAGGCTTAAGAAGGTAAGTAGAACAGTTGTGCCGCGCGATTTAGATTTGCTAGAAAGCAGGATTTCCTGCTTTCTAACGAATATAAATCGTGCTGCATAGCTGATCATTGAAAATAACAGTTCAGACAAACCGGTAGCTTTTTTAACTACCAGTTCACCCGAACCCGTAGCTTTTATTACTACCGGTTTGCCCGAACCAGTGTGGACCAGTAGCATTTCACCCCAGGGGGAGGGGGTGTGGGATAATTTCTTTCCAGATGCCAGACGTAACAGCGATAAGTCCCGTGGGAATCAAGTTTTTCTCAACGAGAAGGTGCAGCTGAGCAGCCTTCTATCCACCTGGTTGGTTAACATGACCAGTGATACTAGGGGTGGGTGGGTGACATCTATTCCTTTTATTATAACAAAACGTGGGAAATATTTAGAGTTGGTTTCACATTTCTCTGCTCCCACAGAGAGGGTCTCCTCAGGGTGCCATCGGCCAAGTTATGTTGGCTGGCGACACCCAGGGGGAGGGCCTTCTCTGTGGGAGCCCCTGCCCTTTGGAATGAACTGCCCCCAGAAATGCGTAAGATCTCTGACCTCCGTGTATTTCGCTGTGCCCTCAAAACCTTGTTGTTCCGCCAGACCGGGCTATCAATGTAAAGATTTTAATTGGTTTTAAATGTGGGATTTTAAATTTGGGGTTTTTATAATTGAGCCAATTATTTAATAATTTTAATTATTTTTAAATTTTGTCTGTCTTTGTGCTTTTAATCAGGCTGCACACTGCCCTGAGTCCTTCGAGAGAAGGGCGGTATAGAAATATTATTATTATTATTATTATTATTATTATTATTATTATTATTATTATTTAATTATTATTAATTATTATTAATTATTATTATTATTATTTTTTGAACGTGCCAATATGATGTACCCAACAAAATGGATCTTTGAGAAAAGCCGCCGAGTCCTGAACTGATTGGGCCATTACTTGGCACCATGCCATTATGACCCTAGCACCATCCCCAGGGTCGCATGATCAAAATTCGGGTGCTTGACAACTGGTGTGTATTTATGACAGTTGCGCTGTCCGGGGTGTGTGTGTGTGTCACGTGATCATCTGTAACTATCTCAGCTGTCTTCTGACAAGCAAAGTCAACAGAGGGAAGCCAGATTTATTAAACGGCCGCACAATTCATCTCACAACTGCAGCGATTCATTTAACAGCTGTGGCAAAAAAGGTTGCATAATGGGGCATAATGTACTTAACTTTGTTTAGCAATGGAAATGTTAGTCTCGCTTGTGGTTGTACGTTGAGGACTAACCGTAATGTTGTTTCTCTAATCCAAAATGTTCTGGAACATCTGCTTTACTTGTTCAGTCCTAGCCTATGTCTTGCCTTTGCAGCCATAAGGACTAGAAACTTTATTAAGAAAGCCAATGTTTGCAGAGTCTGGAAACTGGGACCCAGTACAACTGGACAGTTGGCAAAGGGCTTTCAAACAAGAAGTGAGATTCGGAAGCAATGGAAATTTGATCCAAGTAATCCACAGTTTACGACCATCATGGAATCTGGAATTTCCGTCATGATGGTCATAAGTCGAGTCCTTAATTTACCCAGAACCACACAATTGCAAAGAGAAGCAAAAGACTTCTGTGGCCCCAATCTCATTCCTCTTTTGCCCACAATCGTGCCACTGCTCACCATTCAGGATACTCGGAGTCTGGCTTCAGCTCTACGTCTGTCCCTTCCTTGTAGATGTTCACCCCCATAGCATGAGTGGTGAGCTTAACCGGGTCCTTGCATATTTCAGGGCCTTTCAGTTCTTCTTTGGAAAGACCTCTCATTTTGCCTCTCGCTGCTAAAAAGAAATACATGTATGTATATTTCAGTAGCTGTTTTGGCATATGCATAAAACATGAGCACATTATTCAGGAGTAGGGGGGAAAAGGGGACCACTCTGCAAGTCAAAGCAGGGGAATTCTGGGAGTTGAAGTCCACACATCTTAAAATTGACAGTGTTGAGAAACCCTGCAAGCATAAAAAAATAAAAACGCTTAAAAGCAATAAGGTTTTAAACTAACCCACTGGCGCTTTCCCTCCAAAAGGCTGCACCATGCAGAAGAGCAATCTTCCAATAAATCAGTGTTTCCCAAACTTGGGAACTTTAAGAAGTGTGGACTTCAACTCCCAGAATTCCCCATCCAGCATGGCTGGCTGTGGGATTTTGGGAGTTGAAGTCCATACATCTTGAAGTTCCCAAGTTTGGGAAACACTGCAATAAATAAACAAAGGAAGAAGAATACTTTAACAGAATAATAAAGTTGGGTGGGACCTTGGAGGTCTTCTAGTCCAACCCCCTGCTCAGGCAAGAAATCCTATAGTACCATTTCAGACAAATGGTTGTCCATGGGTGCAAGGCTCTTCTTTAGATGCCCCCCCCCACCCCATCCGACCATGGAGGACGCCCAAAGCGCTCCCTTCCAGTCTGGCTTACCCGGTTTTTTGGCAGCATAGTTTCTGACCGTCAGCCGCGACCATGAAAGGCTGGAGAGCGAGGAGCAAACAGCGGCCCGGAGCTGCAGCCCAACCAAAGCCATGCGACCTCGAAACCTACCCTCTTGCTGGGGCTGGCAGCTTCAGACGCACGGAGTCTGCGCAGAAGCAGAGAGCGTTCTGGGAAACGTAGTTCGTCTCCCCCCCTCCCCGTTTCCTTTTGCGATCGCCGAGCGCTGATTACAAGGACGACTTAACATCTCCCTTCCCCAACCGGGTGCCCGCCTCATTAACGTGCTGCATCGCAAGATCCGTCTTCTCCAGTCCGCCTGGACAAATATTTCATAGGTTGCGATAGGTTTCTTCCACGGAAAAATCCCCACAGAATCCTGCACTTATGAAATATTATGAAATGTTCAGTAAGAGTCGTCAATGCCTTGAATGCACTATCTGACTCTGTAGCTTCTTCCCCAAACCCCCAAAACTTTAACCTTAAACTGTCTACTGTGGACCTTACCCCATTCCTAAGAGGTCTGTAAGGGGCATGCATAAGTGCATCAGCGTGCCTACCGTCCCTGTCATAATACTCCTTTTTTATTTACTCTTTTCATGTATTCAAATTATGTTTATATTTTTACCTGTTATCTTATATATGCTTGACAAAATCAATCAATCAATCAATAATAAAATATAATATAATATAATAATATAATAATATAATAATATAATAATATAATATAATATAATATAATATAATATAATATAATATAATATAATATAATATAATATAATATATCAGTTGGGCGCAGTCGTTGAAGCCCAATCTTGATAGCATTTTGTACATTTGCTCAGAAAAGTATCTACAGTATATTCTATTGGATTCTGATTTGCCCTAATTGGGAGAACGGGCTGCTGGTGCAATTCTTTTCCTTCCCTATCATAAAATATTCTGGTTTTTCATGATGATTTTAAAATAGAATCTGTGTTCCAAGAGATATTTAGTGTACAGCTCAATCCTGTGTAAAGAAGAAAATATATACAGCTCAAATTAATCCCTCACTACAAAAATAACTAGTTATTTTTCAGTTATATATTATAGTACAGTATATTATATTCCACCCAATCCCAAGTGATTCAGCTATTTTTATTTATGATTTTATTTTCATTCTAATATTCAGTGCGGTTTTTGAGTATGCCACATCTGATCTGTCAATTATTGTAAATAAACTTTACTAGTACTGTAGTACTTATAATTCACTTCCTAGGGAACTTGGACAACTTCCAAATATGTGGCATTTCCAGTCCACAGTCAACAAAGAATAATTTGTGGGTTGATGTCTACACACCTGGACATTTCTTTTAAGTTAGAGCCCACTCATTTAAGATTGCTGATTTTAAAAATTACGTTGGCTGGCAGATGCTGTTGAATTACAGCCCACATCTCTCGTAATCAGTGGAATTTTAAATATATTAAGGGTGAAAATGAGGTTCTAGAAGGCAGTATTTTCAACATTAAGCAAAAATGAAGACAGGGAGGGGGCATAACCTCAAACTGACAAGAGGAAAGTTCAAAAGTTGTATCTTACAATTCTTGATGAACGTATCTTTTCTTTTATGTACACTGAGAGCATATGCACCAAGACAAATTCCTTGTGTGTCCAATCACACTTGGCCAATAAAAAATTCTATTCTATTCTATTCTAAAAGTAATGTTAGAAAGTATTCCTTCACAGAAAGAGGAGTGCAACTTTGGAACCAAACTCCCAAGGGAGGTTGTGGGTCAGTCATCAGTAACTAAATAATGGAGTTGGAAAAGATCTTGGAGGTCTTCTTGTCTGACCCTCTGCTCAAGCAGAAAACCTTATACAAATTCAGACAGATTTTTGTCCAATCTCTTCTTAAAAATCTCCAGTGTTGGAGAATCTGCAACTTCTGAAAGCAAGCAGTTCCACTGATTAATTATTCTGTCAGGAAAGTTCTAGGTTGGATCTCTCCTTGATTAGTTTCCATCCATTGCTCCTTGTCCTGCCTTCAGGTGCTTTGAGTATTTAAACATTTGATTTTTAACATGCTTAGGATAAACATCACCCGACAAAAATTAAAAATTAAATAAAATATAAAAATAATTAAAAACAATAAATTAATTAAAGGAGAACAAAAAACAAATGACGGGCTAGTAGGTCTTTTTCAACCATCAGTTTTCTATGTTTCTATGACTAAACATTGGTGGAAATTACAATCTAAGAATGATAGAAGTGTTTCTCGACCTTGGCCATGTTAAGGTTTGTGGACTTTAATTCCCACAATTTCCCAGAATTCCCATGGCAAATCTCCACCAAGGATATTTATTCTTTTTGCATAAATGCCTATGACAGCATGCACTGGCCACCACTGTTAGATATAAACCTCCATTAAATTGCATAACTGGATGGAAAATAGTTCAACAAAGTACCTGAAAAATGATATGGCTAATTAACATGGATTAACCACAGACTAAACATATACCAGCACCCTTTAGATAAACACAAGGAGCAACTGGAACAAGCCAGGACTACGGAACAGGGAAAAATGCTGACAACCATCATCAAGATTATATCTCTTAGTCAAGTTAAAAAAAGGAAAACCCAAAGAATTCAAGCTAAACTCCAGAAGCAAAGAGCTGCCTGAACCCCAATGGGTAGTCAATACTGGTGGTCTACAACTTACAACAGTTCATTTAGTGACCATTCAAAGTTATAATGGCTCTGAAAAAAGTGATTTACCACAGTTTTTCACACTTATGACCGTTGCAGCCTCCCTATAGTCACATGATCAAAATTCAGATGCTTGGCAACTGTTTCATATTTATGACGACTGCAATGTCCTGGGGTCATGTGATCCGCTTTTGCGACCTGACAAGAAAAGTCAATGGGGAAGCCAGATTCACTTAACAACCGTGTTATTAACTTAACGAATGCAATGATTCTGTCAGGTTTTCAGGCTGTCTTCAAATAAACAACTTGTGGCATGAACAACTGTGGCATGAAAAGTCGTAAAAAGGGGCAAACTCGCTTAACGAATTTTTCACTTAGCAACATAAATTTTGGCCTCAATTGTGGTCATAACTCGAGGACTACCTGTATGTCCAGTCACAAATGGTGGTCACATGATCTCAGGACATCATAAATCATCATAAATACATGCCAGTTGCCAAGTATCTGAAGTTTGATCATGTGACCTTGATGATGCTATGATGATCATACATGTGACTACCCAATCATAGTCACTTTATTCAGTGCCATTGTGACCATTGTAAGCAAATGGTTGTAAAATGAGGACTACCTGTAATGAATCCATCTTCCAATGATCTGGCACAAGGGTTCTTCACTTGACCAAGGATCGGATCTAAAAGCTTGTTGTTCATCTATGATTCATCCAGAACCTTTTTCAATCTGAAATAAATAAATTCTTAAATAAGATGATTTTGTGCGTTTAAATGATTACAAAAAAAAAAACACCTCCTGTCCATGCTCAGAGTTAGTCTTATTTTGTTTTTAAAATTGGTGTGGCCCAGCAGATTTTTCTCCCTGATTTGTATTCTAAGCAAGGGTCCCAAACTTTTCAGGCTGTGAGGAAAAATAAAATCCCAGAGTTCCTGATCAAAAGGCAAAGCTCTAGGACAGAAAATTGGCTGTTTTTGAGTGTACTTTTCTGTCTGTTTCTTTCCTTCTCTCTCTCTCTCCATGTCCTTCCTCCCTCCCTTCCTCCCTTGTTGTAACTATCTGAAAAAGGGAAGTCTGGACTAAGAAGATGAGAGAAATTTTGCTTTGTACTACATTACATTACATCCCTGAGCAAAGAGCTATATTGTAAGCCACCTCTGGTAAGATAGATGGCTAATAAATGTGATAAATAAAATAAAATAAAATATTGTAGAGTTAGGGTATACTCTAACACCGTGATGGCGAACCTATGGCACACGTGCCACAGGAGGCACATGGAGCCATATCGGTGGGCACAGGAGTGTTGCCCTAGCTCAGCTCCAGCACTCATGCGCATGCCGCTGGCCAGCTAATTTTTGAGCCAACTGGTCCCACTGGCAGTCGGGAAATGGGCCATTTCCGGAGGGCCTCTAGGGGTGTGTGGAAGGCCGTTTTTGCCCTCTCCAGGCTCCCAGAAAGCCTCTGGAGCCTGGGGAGGGCGAAAAATGGGCCTTCCGGTCCCACTGGAAGTCGGGAAAAGGGCAGTTTCCGGTCTCTGGAAGGCCTCCGGGGTGTGTGTGGAAGGCTGTTTTTGCCCTCCCCAGGCTCCAAGAAAGCCTCTGGAGCCTGGGAAGGGTGAAAAACGGGCCTACCATGCCATCATGTGCCAAAAGTGGAGAGGAGTGTGGAAGGGGAGGGGGTCGCGTGCGCATGCACGGGAGGGCGGGACGCATTGAATTATGGATGTGGGCACATGCGCCCACAATCCCCCTGCTCCCTCCGCTTTTGGCACACGACGGCAAAAAGGTTAGCCATCACTGCCCTAACACAAAACAAGTTGCCAGAGACCAGCAGATCACTCGGAATCTAATTGTACTTATTCTGGAACTGTGACAAAAAGCGGAAGAGCATCATAGATTTTTAAAGGCAATTCAATCCACATCTTCAAAAGGCAACCTGATCACCAGACACATGCTGTTCCAGGCTCTGCTTCATTTGACAAAGAAAACAGGTGAAACATGAGCAAGGTTTTGCATTACATCAGCAAACAGGAGGGCAAGGTCTGCTTTGCACCTTAGGAAACCAATTCTTCAGGTTGAAAAGAAAATAGATTCAACTCCGCAACAACTGAATTCATTTTCGGGGGAAAAATGCATTTAAAAAAAATCTACTTCTTTTTTTGACTTGGTGAAGAAATTGCAGACTTCTGCGTAGCACAGAAATCTGGATCCTCCCGTTAGGAGAGCTAGGCAAACTCTCCTTTTTCAAATTTGTAGGCGGATATACTTTTATAAATTTGTAGGCGGATATACTTTTATTTTGGAAAGCTAAATCTTTACCCACACGACAAAACTACATCTCCCAGAATCCTCTCGGAGCACATGCTCAATCCTAATGGGAACGAGCGAGCGAGCGAGCGGGCGAGAGCGAACCCCAGGAAGAAAAATACGTGATCGAATATTTTTTTTAATATATGT